TAGCCAAGGCCTATTACAGGACTTTGGAAAGTTAACCGTGAATCAGAATTTGCATGACTAGCCATTTGCAAAGAAATGTTTGGAATTTTCTTTTAGATCTAGGGAATGGAATTTGTAAGTTAATGTTTAAAAGATGGATCATTAGAAAACTGTTCAACTTTGGGCTTGATTTTTGTTGAAAAAGATATAAAATAATGTTTATTTCACTTAAATTTATATAACAAATTCTCTCATTAATCCTTATCAAAGTTTTTACAACTTGCTAATCCAGGTACTTCAGATGTTCTAGAATTTCTCTTAGTTTGGATTTTCTTTTCAGGATGTAACCATTGCACTCAGATGTCAAGGTGTATAGTGTTCCTTTCAGATGCTGTTTAGCCAATGATGACCCTTTAAAAGAAAGGTGTTGGGAGGGGGCAGTGAGATGTTCAGAAGGTAAGGGCATTTGCTATCAAGCTGACAACTTGAGTTCAAATCCCAGAACCCACATAGGAGAAGGTAAGAGCTATTTCCTCAAGTTGTCCTCTGACCTACACACACACACTCCTATTAAACAAATAAATGTAAAAAAAAAAAGTGTGAAAGGTTTTTTTGGGGGGTGAGAGTCAGGCATAGTGGTACACATCCATAATCCCAGCATTCGGAAGGCAGAAAAATTGCTACATGCTTGAGGCCAACATGGACAACATAATGAATTTCACACCAGCCCAGGCTGTACAGTGAGACCAAAAAAACAAAATAAGTAAAAATTTTTTCTGATATTCATCATCATTATTTCAAACAAATAGTACCTTTAGTGTTACTGTTTCCTTAGCATGTATATGATGTGAACATAATATTTACGTCCATTTTCCATGGAATATTTATAGAGAGGAAGGCCCATAAATAAAACCTTTTTAAGCATTTTATAATTTTTCCTCTTGGCCACAATTTCTACAATGGGTTCCTCGGGTGTAGCTGAGTCAAATGTAGTTTGCTAAAGTACCCTAGATGGGTGGTCTTGGAAGTTTCTTCTTTACCCACTCACTCCACTTGAGAACCATTTCTCCTTCATGTCTATATCTAGGTCCTTTGTCTAGCAGCAACTTGGCTGGAAACCTGCATGGTAAGGGAATTATCCTCTAGTGATTTAGAAAAAGAAAATCTGAAATGTGGCTTCATTTTCAGTTGTACGAGCCATAATAAAGAAAACGATGAACAATCGTTCACCAAAACGTAGCTTTTAACTTGCAATCATTAAGTATTAAGACCTATTAGAAGGGAAAAAATTCTTTTAGTAAGTGCAGGGTAGACATGGCATGGGGAAAAAAGCACAAAGCAAGAGGGTAGAAATAGGACGGCAGACTTAGTTTGCCTTTTGGACCTAGATCTTGAGCAGTTTTCCTATAGGCTAGAGAAACCTCATCAGTAGAAGGGTCATCGATGGGTACGAGACTTGCCTGGGCCTATCAATCTCTACATTCGTTATAGAACACTAAGTTAATAATTGTTCGCTTCTTGGTGCAATCTGGAAGTAAGAATCATTACTGATGCACTTCAGTACGCTGTGGCAGGGTTTCAAATGTATTAGATTCACATCTAGCAGCCCTTCTTTAAAGGCTCCATTTGATTATCAAATCAGCCAGACGTTCTGCTTTGAAGCAGAGAACCTCAGGGCTGGAGAGATGGCTCAGCAGTTAAGAGCACTAGTTGATCTTCCAGAGGATGAAGAGTTCAACTCCCAGCGTCCACATGGTGGCTCACAACCATCTGTAACTCCAGTATCAAGGGATCTGATGCCTCTTTGTACCTCCTTTGGGACTACAAGCATTTAGTGCACATACATACACTCAGGCACACACACATACACATTAAATATTTTTTAAATATTTATTTGTTTTTATGTGCATTAATGTTTTGCCGGCATGTATGTCTATGCAAGGGTTCCAGATCCCCTGGAACTTGAGTTAGAGACAGTTGTGAGCTGCTACGTGGGTGCTGGGATTTGAATCCTGGTCCTCTGGAAGAGCAGCCCATGCTCTCAATCCCTAAGGCATCTATCCGACTCTAATTTTTTAAAAGAAGAGAACCTATTTTTTCTTCTTGTTTTTCTGAAGACATTTACCTTCTCCTAATTGAATCAAGAATTATGGTAGGCTTCTCAACCCTACAGCCTTTAGACTTTCACAAAGGGGAAATGCTTCAGTGTTTAGCATCCCAGAATGCAGCTAGAAAGGGAACAGTGAAAAGACTCCAAATTCAGTAGAAAATGGGCATTTATCACTGTTGGGCCATGTTTGGGTCTTGTTCTGTAGACTCCCTCTCTGGGCCTTAGTTTTTGCTTCTGTGGTTGGCTGAATTTCACTAGTACAGCTGAGTCCCATTTAGTACTCAGACTCAAACCAAACTCTTTTCCTCAGTCAGAAATCAAAGACAAATTCTGTTCTTCTCTTAGTCATCTGGATTATCTAGATAGTTTACATAGCCTGGGTTTTTATTTGGTTTGGCTCACTTAACTGGACTATGATCAGATTTTTTTTTTGACACTAGGGTCCTAGTATTGCCTTGACAATGCCTTAAAAGGTAGGACAAACTGAAACTTTAGACTCTATGCATTCTACAATAGTAATTTAATTGTGAGGGTAGAGCATAGGCAAAATGTTTGTCTCTTTTTTTTTCCAGTTATAGGGGTCTAACATAGGGCTTTGAGCATCCTAAGCAAGCACTGAACTACTTAAATGCATCCTCAGTCTTGTTCCTTGTTTTTTCTACACACTCTCTCTCTCTCTCTCTCTCTCTCTCTCTCTCTCTCTCTCTCTCTGTGTGTGTGTGTGTGTGTGTGTGTGTGTGTGTGTCTCTCTCTGTGTGTGTGTGTGTGTCTCTCTCTGTGTGTGTGTGTGTGTGTGTAACTGCACATGTGTGGAGGTTAGAGTTTCTTTCCTTCCATTAAGTAGGTTCCAGGGATCAAACTTGGCCATCATGCCTGGCAGCTTGGCAGCAAGTACCCTTACAAGCTGAGCCATCCTGACAGTCCAGTGCATTTTCTGAAGCAGGGCCTTGTTACTATGTGGTCCAAGCTGCCCTTGAACTTGCTATGTAGCTCAGGCTTGCCTGAAGCTTGAAATTTTCCTGCTTCTGCTTAGGATTTACAGGCTTGTTATGTATTCTATATAATGTGTGTGTGTTATAGTGTAAATATATTGTGATATTATACACACACACACACACACACACATACACAAACCACCTAAATTCATATAAGAGGTCTTATTCTTGTTCCTAGAAAAAAAATGTCTCTAGCCAGGAGATGGTGGCACACACCTTTAATTCCAGCACTTAGGAGGCAGACACAGGTGAATCTGAGTTCAAGGCCAGCCTGGCCTACAGAGTGAGTTCCAGGACATTCACGGCTACACAGAGAAACCCTGTCTCGAAAAACAAAATAAAATGTCTGTGAGTAGATACTGATGTCTACCTGATGTGACCTGTTGTCTGTGGTTAGGCACTCATAAGAGGGGTGGTACTCAGTGACAGGAGCACTTGCTGTCCCTCTACACCCTGAGTTCAGTTCCCAGCAGTCCATCAGGAAACTTACAACTGCCCATGACTCCACCTTTGGGGATTCTAATACTTTCTTCTGGTCTCTGCAGTCATTTGCACACATGCAGGCATATACAGACACATAAGTAGAAAATAAAATCTTTTTCTTAAACATAAAAGAGGGGCTGGCAAGATGGCTCAGTGGGTAAAAACACACCACTTGCGACACAAGCTTGATGACCTCAGTTTGATACCTGGGACCCACATAAAAGTGGAAGAAGAGATCTAACTCCATAGGGTTGTGTTCTGACCTTCACACACACACAACAACAACAACAATAATAATAATAAAGCAGAAACATGAAAATAAAAGTGCCTGATGAGAATGAACCAACTGCTACTTTTCCTGTTGCTGTAATGAAAAATAAGATAACAAAAGCAACTTAGGAAGGGTTTGTTTTGGCTCCAGTTCCGCTACAGTAGGGAAGTCATGGCGGCAGTCACACTGTGTCTACAGTCTGCAAGAAGAGGGATGCATATAGTATGCATGCTGGAGCTTAGCTGGTCTTCTCCTTTTATGCAATCCAGGACCCAAGTGCAGAGAATGGTGCCACCCACTATTAGAGAAGATCTCCCCATGTCAGATAGCCTAATCAGGATGTCTTAGTTAGGGTTTTTAATGCAATGAAGACACACCATGACCACAGCAACTGTTATAAGGTAAACATTTAATTGGGGCTGGCAGACAGTTTCAGAGGTTTAGTCCACTATCATCATGGCAGGGAGCATGGCAATGTGCAAGAGGCCTGGTGTTGGAGAAGGAGCTGAGAGTTCTGCATCTTTCAGGCAATGGAAAGTCAACTGAGACACTGGACTGTAGCCTGAGCATAGGAAATCTTAAAGTCTGCCTTCGCAGTAACACACTTCCTCTCCAACAAAGACACACCTCCTAATAGTGTCACTCCCTATGACATTATGGGGGTCAATTACATTCTAACTACCATACAAGGTAATTCCATGGGCCAGGGTAATGGTCCAACCAGTAAAAGCTCTTGCCACAAACAAATCTGACAACCTGAATTCGATCCCTGGATCCCATGGTGGAGGAGAACCAGCTCTACCTAATACAGCTTAAATCAAATGCCTAGCAATTACAAACTTGCTCTTGTGAGTACCAAGTGTCCATTTCAGTTGTTTTGTTTATTTTTGTTTTGTTTATCTGAAATTCAGACACACAACTCTGCACATGTTATGCAAGTACCCTATTACTGAGCTACACAGTCAGCCCAGCTATAGGTTTTTCAGGTAAAGGCTATTATGCCCTCAGAAATGAGATTTGGTGTATAAAGGTCAGGAAGTTAAGAGGCAGAGTTTCATACTGGAATATTCACCTAAACTAGCTAGCCAGCAGGGACATACAGTCTTCTAGCAGAATGAAAGCCTTGTCGGTATTGAGATACTGAGGGATGCTCTTTTTTCAGGAAGCTGGAGACAATAGCCAGTTCTGCTGGAGGAACCTCTTTTCCTGCATCAACCTCCTGAGGCTCCTCAATAAACTGACCAAATGGAAGCACTCCAGGACCATGGTAAGCAGGACCTCATATCACGGAAGTATCCATTGAACTGAAATTTAAATCACTAGCATTTGTAGATTGCCTACTTGGATGGATAGATAGCTGGCAATGCTACATAAGTTTCTGCACTTCCTAATTCTGGGCACTTATTCCAAGATGATTACTCATCGGTCCATTTCTTTTCAGGAAACTAAATATAGACACACTCTTAAGGCAGCTCTAACAAGGGAAGCCAGACACATTTGGATTATAGTTACACATCCAAAAATGATGCAAGTCCAACATTCATTGCAATGTTGCTCATAATAAGAGTCTGGAAACAACTTAATATACTTTAACAAGGACCAACTGCATAAATCAATCACGGTGTGTCCTTATAGTAGTAAATGATAAAACCATTTGAAAGAACGAGGCATTTCTCTGCTGGTATGGAATAATTTTCAAGATATACTACTAAATTAAAAGAGGTCTTTAATTCCAGCACTCAAGAGGAAGAAGCAAGGAGGATTTCTGTAACTTCAAGGCAAGCCTTATCTAGATAAAGAGATCCTGTGGGATACGTGGGTTAAGGAGATGGCTCAGTAGTTAATGTACTGTTCTCGCAAAGTGCCCAAGTTTGGTTTCTAGCACCTATGTCAAGCAGGTCACATCTGCTTGTAACTCCAGCTCCAGAAAGAGCCAATGCCTCTTGTCCCCAAGGATATGTGTACTCAAATACACATACACACACAATTTGAAAAAAATTAATCAAGATACAGAACAGCGTACTTGGCTGTTACTTGTGTTAAAATCCAAAATAATGCATATGTTACATAGCTATAGTCAAAATTATCTCCAGGGCTAGTGAAATGCTCAGCCAGCAAAAGTGCTTACTATGCATGCCTGGTGACCTGAGTTTGATTCTTGGAACCCACAGCAGAAGGGGAAAACTGACCTCCATGTACGTGCTATGAAGTGTTTGCATACACATGTTAAAAACACATATTCATGTGTTAAAATTTAACTGAGTATTTTTTGTGATTCTTATCAAGGGCATTTTATTTAGCAGCATCCATTTTCTTGAAAAATTATGTGACTTCATACTTGAAGCTGAAAAATACCCCATTGTCTATATATCATCACATTTTTATTATCTGCACATTCTTTGATAGATCTGTAAGTTGACTTCATAGCATGGTCATTGTAAACCTTGCGGTGGCAAGTACAGGTATTTAGATATTTCATTTTTCCCACATTTTCACTTAATTAATTATTAATTAATTTCCAGATCATTCACAGTTTCCCTTCCCTCCTCTCCCAGTTTCTCCTTCAATCTCCCCTCCACCCTACCCCCAATCCACTCCTCCTCCTTTCTCTTCAGAAAAGTGCAGTCTCAAGTTCTTTGGGTAATTTGTAGTGATTTCTAAATTGTGGAGCAGAGCCACGGGGTTTCTGTTAGGTTTAGAGGTGGGTCTTCTTCAGTCATACATCTTTGAACTAAAAAGGGTAACGGTCTCCCTGCCTACCCCCATCCCGCATTTGGCGCACAACAATGGGGAAGGACAACAGAGTAACCACTCTGGTCCCCATGTGGAAAGCAAAGAAGATTCAGGAAGCTTATGGGTTTATTTATTTTTTAAATATAAAAGGCCAGGTGGTGGTGGCTCACGCCTTTAATCCCAGCACTCAGGACGCAGAGGCTGACAGATCTCTGAATTCAAGGCCAGCCTGGTGTACAGAGCAAGTTCCAGCACAGCCATGGCTACACAGAGAAACCCTGTCTTGAAAAAACCAAAAGAAAAAAAATTACACAAGAAACTAGTAACAGTGGAAATGGCATATATGGTAGATAATTTTTATTTTGAATTTATAAATACTGTAAACTTTAAATTTTTTTAATTAGATTCATTCATTTTATGTGTGTTTTTCCCTCATGTATGTATGTGTACCACTTTGTGCCTGGTGCCCACAGAGGTCAGACAGAGGAGGGCATTGGATCCCCTGGAACTGGAGTTACAGATGGTTGTGAACTACCATGAGGGTGCTGGAGATTGAACCCAGGTCCTCTAGAAAAGTAGCAAGTATTCTTAAGTGCTAATCAATCTCTCCTGAATATTATAAACTTTAAATGAATTACGTCTTGATTTTTTTTTGTACATCACAAGACTGGCTTTGAACTCATGATCAGCCTCTCAATATTTTGATTACAAGCATGTGCTACCATGTCTGGCTTAATTGTGTGTGTGTGTGTGTGTGTGTGTGTGTGTGTGTGTGTGTGTGTGTGTGTGTTTTAGACAGTGTTTCACTTCCCTAGGCTAGCCTCAAACTCCTTATATAGTTCTTCTGTATTCTCGAAGACTAACTTTTAAGTAGTTTGAACCTTAGATACTCAGGGTCTCACAGGATGACCAGGATTGTCTATGTTGTCTGAGTTGGAAATTCTAAAAACTTCACATGATGATGGACTTTTTATCACCCTGTCTCTGTATCACTGGGCAGATGCTGGTGGTGTTTAAATCAGCTCCAATCTTAAAGCGAGCCCTCAAAGTCAAACAGGCCATGCTACAACTTTATGTCTTGAAGCTCCTAAAGTTACAGACCAAGTACCTTGGGCGCCAGTGGAGGAAAAGCAATATGAAGACTATGTCAGCCATTTACCAGAAAGTGCGCCACCGCATGAATGATGACTGGGCTTACGGAAATGGTGAGTATTTGTAAACTTATGCTCACTAATTTGGCTAGGCTGGCCAGCCACTGAGCTCCAGAGATTTGCCTGTCCCCGCTCCTGCAGCACTGTGGCTATATGCATACTGCAGCACCTGGCTTTTATGTAGGTACTAGTGATCCAAACTCAGGTCCTCATGCCATCTCCCTACCCCAAAATATGAGACTAATTTTATGATATGGTAAAACGTTTACCTACTTATCATAGTAGTTTGTTCGAGACAAGGTCTTACTGTGTAGCCTTTGCTGGCCTCAAACTCAAGTGCTCTGCCTGCTTCTGCCTCCCAATGCTGGGATTAAAGGCATACACCACCATGCCCAGCTGAGTTGGTCCAGAATTAACTCCTCATGTTCTGCTCCAATCTTCCCTTTCTTGAGGATGATCCTATTCAAATGGGAAATTTTCATCCCCTAGAGAAAACTCAATAAAAGGTTTTAATTGCTCTTTTTAATAACATGATTACTAGAAAGAAACAAAGCTGGGTGGTGATGGCACACACCTTTAATCCCAGCACTTGGGAGGTAGAGGCAGGCCAATCTCTCAGTTTGAGGCTAGCCTGATCTACAGAGTGAGTTCCAGAACAGACTCCAAAGCTATAGAGAAACCCTGTCTTAAAACAACAACAAATAGAAAGAACCAAACAAGGAATTACAATAAAAATCTCTCCCATCTCTTTCCTCAGCAGTAACTACTGTTACCAGTTTCTATACGTCAAAGATAACTTCTGTATATATTAATTTATGTGATCATATGCATACTTTTTAAACCTGTAAACATGCTGCATGTCTGCTTCATACATTGCTGTTAAAGAACATTCTGAGCAGTTTCATTGTCAGAATGTCGTAGACCGTGCTCTGTGGAAGAGAGTAACGTCAGAATGTATCTTTTGCTTCCTCTCTTGCTGTGTCAGACATCGATGCCAGGCCATGGGACTTCCAAGCTGAAGAGTGTACCCTGAGGGCTAACACTGAGGCTTTTAACAGCCGCAGGTATGGTGAACCACAGGACTCAGAGTTTTCACCTGTGGATAACTGCTTGCAGAGCGTGCTGGGGCAGGGGCTGGATCTGCCTGAAGATTTCCATTACTCCTATGAGCTCTGGCTGGAGAGAGAGGTGTTTTCACAGCCCATCTGTTGGGAGGAGCTGCTCCAGAATCACTAAGCTCTTGTCACAAAGCATCTGATGGATGGAGGTTGGCTCCAAAAAATGTGCTTTGCCTATCCTGCCTCTTCAGCAGAGTGTGTGTCCGCAGAAATTCCAACCCAGCATCCAGCAGAGACATCTGGCATAGTTCAAGGCTATTCTGAATGCCATTATACCTGAAGGTGGTGCAAAACTAGGATCCTGAGTCAAAGCTCATGGACAGCTTGCTCTAGGCTCAGCTAGGTACCTAGTTGGCCTTGAAATCTCTTGATGATCAGTCCTGGATAGGCTCTTTGATGGAACCTGGTTTAATCTTGCCCGAGAACCAGGCTATCCTTTGTTACTGCAATAGTGAAAGGAAATTTGTTATGGCATTTGACCCATGACATTCATCTCAAGCAATGAGATAGGCACAGGACATAAAATGAGGAAAATTTCTTCTTGCTCACTCTAAATGCCTGAGACCTAATTTTTAGCCTGTATTTCACATTTAAGGTTTTGACACTTACCTCTTTATAAAGTAACCATTCACTCTATGATCTGAAAGCACTGCCCCTTTATAACAGATAATTGTTTCCAAACATTGCATGTCATAGAAAAATATATAAATCCTTAAGAGATCTGTGTTCAGTGTAAAAGTATTTCCTGTGTATTCGGTATAGTGCTTTGAATGATTTGCCATTTGGGAAGAACCACCTCTACTGTGAAATAATGTGACCTTCTCTAAAAATAGCTTACATTTTTCATAAGTTACTTGTTTTAAAATGGCTGAGTACACTGCAGAAAATTACTAATAGAACCCCGAATCTTAATTTGAGTAAGGACAGTAGTGTTGCTTGTGACAGGATCTGGCTATGTGGCCCTGACTGGGCTGGAACTTCATATGTAGACAGGCGGCCCTGAACTTGTAATGATCCTCCTGCCTCCACCTCCTGAAGACTGGGATTATAGACATGAGCCACCACCTCTAGTCAATTCACTTTTAAATGACAAGTTGATTATAGGAGGTTTTATTTACTGATATGTGTCCATTTATGCTGATGTTTTTAAATTAAAAGCAACAGCATCACGGTTTATATTTTTTCTTCCATGTTCATTATTTTTACTTTTTTTTCTGCTTGAAGTTTCAATATGGTTTGTACTGAAAGTGACTCGCATCTCATGGAAGATGTCTCTACTCCTCCTTTACAGCAAAATCACTTACTTCCAAAACGAAGGGTTTGTTTAATCTTTGCACTTTTTCATTTTAAAGTTCTCCCCATTGCCCAGACACTACTGAGTCTTTCAACGATGGCACAAGGACACTTTATTCCTAGAGAGTTGATCCAAACTGGTTCATTTACTCTACCCCTGTCAATCATAGTCTCACTTATAGGCCATGACAGAGGCCCAGCATATCCAAAGGAACAATCAGTACCTCTGCTTTCCTTACTTTGGAAAAGTGACAAAAAAAAATTTGTAAGAATGTAATAGATGAAATGTCTTCAAGTAATTTGCAAAGTTTATCAAACCATGACAGAAATCCTCATTCCAAGCAGTTTAGTGAGCATAGAGCATCAGGCAATTTTATTAATCTAGAGTCAGGCTATTATGTTTTAATGATATTTGAGTAAAAAGATAATTCTCCAGGAAAAAGAATAATCAATCTATTTTTAAGTTGTATCATATTCAGTTGTGTAAGGAAAAAATAAGTTGCCTTTTAAAAACATACAAATGCTTTCAGAGGCACAGACATATGATAAGCTTTAATATATCACTTTTTATTATTTATAACTCTTGAGAAGATTAATTCTCAATGCAGATGGAGAAACTACTCTACCTTGCAAGGATGAATAATTAGTTTCAAATCACATCATTTTCCCCCTGCATCTTGCTGTGGCTAGCTTTCTGCTATCGACAGGTAGCTCCTTGTGCTAAGATAACTGGGGTGGAGCTCCCAATTTGAGAGCTCATGTACGTGGCTAGAAATAGCTTTAGATTAACCAGATTTAATGATGATTACAATTTCTACATAGAAGCATGCTGTTTGGGTGATTTATAAAATAGGGACTTTATTTGTAAACATTTCAGTGAAGTTTGTGTTAATAATATTGTTATCTCACCAAACACTTTAATAAAAAGAAAACATGAAGTTAGGAATTTGGTCTTTAATTCTTTAATACAAGATAATCTTAAAGTCATGTTGGATAGAAAAGAATGTAGAATAAATATAGAACTACAAATCTCAATGATGTAGCAAATGTTTATTTCATCATCATGGGTCTGAGGTCAGCCACTTCACTCACCTTAGATTACTGGATTGGTTTTTCTCTAGAATTATTCTTATTCTGGCATAAGACTAGATGTGTGTCCCTACCTAGGACATACTGTTTCATAGTGAAAGGCAAAAACCATACCGTACAAGAAACAAACCATACCATGGAGGTACATTTCAGAACTCCTGCTTGGATATGGCAGAGGGCAAATTGTTCATGTCATTAGTCAAAATCAGTTAACATGCACAAGCCTAACAGTGGGCCAGAGAAGCATTCTCTACCTGGAGGGTGACAGGTATGCGGTGGCATGATGCTTTTGTGGTCATGCTGACAAATATCTGTTCCTATCCTACACAAACTACTCACATCTCCTCCCCAAGGAAGGCTTCAAGATCTTATCCAATGGCATCTTAAAGTCCAGGACCTCATCCAGTTTAGATGTACTCTTTTTTTCCTTTTTTATAGAAACACGGTCTCAGGGCTGACCTTGACCCAAATGTACTGTCCGTTGATCCTGAGACTTGAAAACTGAAGTATAGTGACCATTTCAAATGTGTGCATATACCAGAACATGTTAGGTTTTGTTGTTGTTATTGTTGTTTGTGGGTTTTTTTGGCTTTGTTTCATGGTTTTCATAGGGGTTTCTTACTCTGTAGACTGGGCTGACCTCAAACTCAGAGATCCTCCTGCCTCTAACTCCTGAGTGCTGGGATTAAAGGCATGCACTACACCTGGCACCAGGACACCTCTGTATATCTTAAACATACACAATTTTCATCAGTGTTATCTCAATAAAGCTGTTTTTGTTTATTCTGTTTTGGAGGCAGGGTCTCATGTAGCTCAGGCTCACTTGTCACATGCGGTAGATGGACTTGAACTTTGATATATATCAATCCATAGTGATTCTGTAATCCCAGTGAACAAATATAATGCCTTGTTCTTTTGGATAGGAAAGATCTCTGGGCTGCTCTGTAAATTAATTTCCTGCCTTTCAATATTCTGTGGGATTAGAAACAGATTTCTTTGCACTTAAAAACTGAGGCAGGAAGACAGTGGTTTAGAGGGTCAGCCTGGGCTATATAGTGAGGCCCTTGTCTCAAAAAAGCAAAGAGGTGCATGCTTCAGGAGCCTAAGCCAGGAGCTGTAGCAATCTCTTCAGCAGGCTCCTCCACCCCAAGTGTTGCCAAAATGTTGCTTTTTAACCAGCTGAGTCTGAACATGCTGGACATGAAGGGGACATGGGCCATTATGAGAGTGGACTTCAGTGTTCCTATGAAGGACAACCAGATAACAAATAACCAAAGGATCAAGGTTGCTATTCCACGTATCAAATTTTGCTTGGACATGGAGCCAAGTCAGCTGTCCTTATGAGCCACCTGATGGTGTTCCCATGGCTGACAAGCACTCATTAGAAGCAGTTGCTACAGAACTCAAATCTCTGCTCATCAAGAATGTTCTGTTCTTGAAGGAGTGTGTGGGCCAGAAATAGAGAAACCCATGCCAACCCGGTGGCTGGGTCTGTCATCTGGCTGGAGAACCGCCATTTCCATGTGGAGGAAGAAGGAAGGGGGAAAGATGCTTCTGGAAACACGCTCACAGCTAAGTCAGACAAATAGATGCTCCCCAGCTTCTCTGTCCAAAAGGAAGGATGTGTATGTCAATGATTCTCTGGAGAATGCTCTGAGCCCACAGCTACATGGTAGATGTGAAGCTTCCACAGAAGGCTGCTAACTTTTTTTTAATGAAAGAGCTGAACTAATTTCCAAGGCTTTAGAGAGTCCAAAGTGATCCTAGCTATCTTGGGCAGAGTTTAAGTTGCAAACAGGGTCCACCTGATTAATAAATGGCGAACAAAGTCATTGTTAGTAGAATGGCTTTTATCTTCTTTAAAATAAACAACATGGAGATTTGCACTTATGATGATGATGGGGCCAATATTATATCAAAAATCTTGTGTCCGAAGATGAGAAAAAATGGCGCAAAGATGACCTTGCCTGTTGACTTTATCACTGCAGACAAGTTTGATAAGAATGCCAAGGCTGGCCATGCTACTGTGATCTCTGGCATAACTGTTGACTGGATGGGTTTGGACTCAGTTACTGACAGCAGCAAGAAATATCCTGAGGTTGTCTCCAGCAGAGTAGATTATCTGGAATGGATCTGTGGGGGTATTTAAATTGGAAGATTTTTCCAGGGAAACCAAGTCTGTCATTGATGCGGTAGTGAAAGTCACTTCAAGGGTTGCATCAGTGTCATAGTGGAGACACTGCCATTGCCACACACTATGCCAAATAGAACCTAGGATGAGATCAGCTATGTTGAGTACTGGGAGTGGTGCCAACCTAAAGCTCCTGGGAGGTAGAGCCCTTCCTGGGATGTATGCTCTCAGCAGTGTTTAGTATTTTCCTACCTTTGGGTTTCTGTGCACAGCCGCTAAGTCTATTTAGTGTTTTCTGTATCTCCATTTGGTGTTAGCACAGGGTTCAGCTAGTGGCCAAGAGATGGGACACCAGGGACCCTTACACAGTTGCCCACCTTAGTCCATCTTTACTGCACTGGGACTTGTCTATTTTCTTCAAGGTCCCATTTAAATTCCTTGGTGACTAAACCATTGCACATTCTAGAGTACATCTATTTATATTCTGCTTGTAAAAGAAAGTAAGCTGTAATAGTTTAGTTCTCATTTTCATGTAAGCTACTGCCTATGACTCTGCATGGAAATAAGATGAAATTCCAGTTGTAGGTTCAGAGACATTGATGATCTACTAAACAGTAAAGATGTCCACTGGTGGCGAGGGAACACAAGAGTCAGTCATTTTCTAACACCCTTTACTGCCTCCGACAGGGGATTAGAGAATGTTTCTTCTGCATTCTTGGTGGCTGAACATCTTTCTTAGTGTATGTGTTGGTTAGGGACTGTTGAGGTATGAAAGTCATTTCATGTATAAGCAGTCATTATCAAAAGCACTTTAAAGTCTAATCCCAGCGAGCCTGTTTGCCTGTAGTTAGAACCACGGCTTCTCTGCACACCTCTCGAGGTTTGATTACTATCCTCCGAGTGAGGCCGGCCTCTGTATCATCCTTCCTATCAGTCTCTTTTCTTTGAGCCCTTTTGTCCAGTGTGCGTTTGCTGGGGCTCTTTGATTACCACTCTGATTGATCTTCACTCTAGGGGCAGCGTGTTAAAACAGTCTTTGGATTCAAATCATTTTCATAGTTTTTCTTGTAAGCTGAATAAACAATTACAATATTCATCCTTTGTTAAATCTTGACATTTCTGAATGACCTTTTCCCTATCCTTGCTTGAGAATAGATGTTTTTTGTTGTTGTTGTTTTATTATTTTTTGAGCCATTCCTTGCTTGCAATATTTTAACAAACACAGTTAATACTAGCCAACTCCTGCTACCAACATCTCTGTTTTCAAACCCAGGTCAGGCATGACAACATAAACCTGTAATCCCAGCACTCTGGAGGCAGAGGCAGGATGATCACTGGTAGTTCAAGGCCAGCCTGGGCTACATAGAGTTCCAGGCCAGCTGGAGCTACATATCAAGACCCTCTAAAAAGCCAAAATAAGTAAAAATAAATAAACAAAAAACCCTCCAGCCACCTCATTTAAGGACATTCTCAGCCAGTTGTGGTGGTGCACACCTTTAGTCACAGCACTCAAGAGGCAGTGGCAGGCGGATCTCTGAGTTCAAGGCCAGCCTGGTCTACATTGCTAGTTCTAGGATACCCAGGACCACACAGAGAAACCCTTTGAAAGAGAACAACAACAACACTCTCTAGCAGAACCTGGTAGCAAGGTCAACCCAGGCAATTTAGTTAGACTCCAAATAAAATTACCAAAAGGGGGTCCAGGCAATTTAGTTAGACTCCAAATAAAATTACCAAAAGGGGGTTGGGGCTTTTTTTTCTCAATATATGTTTTTATTTAAATTAGAAGCGTGACTGTTTCACATGTCAGTCCCAGCTCCCTCTCCCACCCCTCCTCCCTTGTCCCTCCACCAGATCCCCAGCTCCCCACCCAGTCCCCACATCATTCCCCAGGGAGGGTGAGACCCTCCTTGGGGGATCTCTAAAGTCTGTCATTTCATCCAGGGCAGAACCTAGGCCCTTCCCCATGTGTCCAGGCTGAGAGAGCATCCCTCTGCTTGGAATGGGCTCCCAAAGCTCATTCATACACCATGGTGAACACTGATCTACTACCCAAGGCCCCAGTGATTTCTGTGACCTCCTCACTACACTACATTCATGAAGTCTGGATCAGTCTCCTGTTGGCCTCTCAGCCATCAGTCTAGGGTTCAAGAGCTCCCCCTTATCCAGTCAGCTGTCTTTGTGGGTTTCATCATCATGGTCTTGACCCCTTTGCTCATCACTCCACCATCTCTGTCGCTAGGTTCCAGGAGTTCAGTTCAGTGTTTAGCTGTGGGTATCTGGCTCTGCTTCCGTCAATCCCTGGATGAAGGTTCTAGGATGGATGACATATAGGATAGTCATCAGGGTGTTGGGACTTTTGGGGCTATAGCTGAATGGGGTGTTTGCCTATTACATTTCTAGCTGTAGGTTCAATCTCCACTATTTACCCCCCCCAAAAAGGGGGTGCATTTTCCATCTTCAAATTATTATAGGCACTAATTTGCCAATTATTTTGCCCCTGAAACATAGGTTGTCAGTCTTCTCACTAGGACACTAGCCTGTAACCCAAGTATGTGGATACGTTGTTATGGTAATATCACACTATTGGTACCAATTTTGGCATACTTGATATCTGACAATAAAACTACAAATTTTCAGTGACTTGTAACAACACACCTTTTGGTCAGGTAAGGTGGCACATTCCTGTGGACCTCCCAGTAGTCTGAGGCAGAAGGACCACGCCT